GTCTAAAGGAGTAGGGGAAGTGGGAGGGGTAGGGGAAAGGAAAGAAGGGAAAAGAAAGAATATGGGAAAAGGAAAAAATGGAAACAAAGTCTTTGTAAATAGGGAAGGGTGGAGGGGGTGAAGGGAGGGCAGGGGAATGGGGAAAAAATAAAAACCAAGATACGTCATGTAAAGGTACAAGATCCCAATGATGAATGTAACTGTATTGTATACCTAAAATGTACCAATAAACTTAATGGGAAAAAAAAGTCCAAGTACGCTCCCTGAAGGAACAAATAAACTTTTAAAAGCAAAAAAAAAAGATGGTATGATGAGCCCCAGAAAACCCATCATAAGTTTGAAAATATCGTGAGGGAGAAATGCAACTTATACACTGACCATGACCCTGTCAAATGAAATAACAATGCAGTACATCATACAGTGTCACCTGTTACTGTCACCGGTGGCTTGACTGATGAGGAGTTGTGACTCACTGCCAGTACCCAGCATTACAAGAGAGTATTGTACTAATACCACTCACTTAGAAAGAGACCAAAAGTCAAAGTACAGTTTCTACTGAATGTATATCATTTTCATATTATCATAAAAAAATTTTAAAGGTAAGCTGAACCATCATAGATTGGAGACATTAGAACACTCTTCAGTAGGTACAACCTGGCTCATGTGATCATATTTATGCTTTGAATTCATGTTTTGTTTTCCTCACAAAATGAAACTATAGCCTTCAGGCAAATTCAAGCTAAATTAACAGATATTCTGAATCACATGGATCTAAGCTAGTGATGAGAAGCTGAGAAGCACTGTGCCCATATCTTAGGTCAACACAACACTGACCAGCTCCAAGACCGAGCCAAGGCTGAAGAAACATCACTAATTGTTTCCAACTTGAGAACTGAAAGCCTTCCCGCTGTCAGTTACATCACAAGTCTTCACACGTATGCTGTGGACTGGATGAAGACTCAGCGGTGCATGCATTGGAAGCGTGGTCCTCAAGGTGGCGCTATTGGGAGGCAATGGGAACTTTAAAAGGTGGGGCCCTGTGGGAGACCCTCAGGTCGCGCTGGGGCCACTGCACTTGGAAAGCTTAAGGTGGTCCTTATGAGACTACTTGGTAGTTTGCAAAAGAAGATTCTCATAAAAAGAGCAAGCAAGCCCGACCCCTCTCTGCCCACCCCTGGCTTCCTGTTCCAGATGTGATCCTTCCTCTCTTCTGTGCTCTGCCGTCTGCCATGAGCCCTTCACCAGAGCCTGCACTGTGTTGATTGGACTAAACTGAGTAAATAAACCTCTCTACTTCATAAAGTTGGTCTGTGTCAGGTATTGCATCACTGTGATGAAAAGCTATACAAGTGAACGTTAACAAGTTAAATAAGTAAAATAATAAAATTCTGTAAAAATATATCTGGCTATCATCTAAATTACTTTTCAATTAAATTACCTACATGCTGCTAATAGCAACTATTTTTAAGTTCATGTAAATTCATTGCTCTCCCAACTTAAAGATATGGGGAAAAAAGATCATAGATAAAATTCTATGATCTACACCTGCATAGAATCCATCTCAGATACTGGTGGTAGAATGAAGTGACTATGCAAATCTTCACATATGAGAATTATTTAAAACCAAAATTTAAAAAATGTTCAAAGACACCATGAGGCATACAAAAGCTCATGGAAGGCAGAAAAATTTTTAATTTCAGAAAACTGTAAGTGAAATAGGTAAAGCCTGTGAGTTTCCAGCTTACTACCCATAGAATCTAATTCTAATCCTGTGGCTACAGAAAATATTGGTTGAAAAAACTGTAGCCTGGCTGGATAAACGTGTCAAATATTAGAAATCAGGACTTGAAAAGTAGCAGAAATCCAATGAGGAACAACATGACAACCACAGAACAAATGAGACACAAATTGACAGCATAAAATCCCTAAATCCCTGGTTTATAGCTAACATACTACTGAATGAAGAAGACCTCAAAGGACTAGAATTAAAAGAAGTCAGAGACCAGAGAGACCTCCACTCCTGAAAGATGGAACTACACAGTTCCATCAGTTGGTGTGTTCAGTTGGTATGTTCGGCACCTATCTTAACCAAAGCTATTGCTCAGCTGGGGCAGCACAAGCGACAGAAAGCTGAAGCACAACCATTTGAAGAATCAGAGTACAAAACCCAAAATCAGCAAAAGCAAGAAATCCAAGGAGAAGATAGACAGTTTTAGACATCAATTTGCAGGCTTCTGCAGAGCCAGGTGAAAGAAGCAACCACAAGAAGCCATAGAAATAGAGATCGGCAGCCAGGAGTCACAAAGGAGGCAAAGTTTCCAGTGGTTTGCAGTGCGAGCTAGGCAAGTTAAATGCCTGCTAGGACAAAATCCAAAAATTCTCAGAAAACACAAAGCAATTTTGTTCCTGCAATATATTTGCAATGACTAATTACCAAAACTACTAAGCATGCAAAAAACTGGAAAATATAATCCATACTCTGGAAAAAAAAAAGTATGGAATATAACTGACTTAAAATAGACATTAGTAGATAACAGCTTCAAAATAGCTTTAAAAATACATTCAAGGGCTGGGGATTTAGCTCAATGGTTCTGCCACCTGCCTCACAAGTGCAAGGTCCTGAGTTCAATCCCCAGTACCAAAAAAAAAAAAAGAAATACATTCAAAGAATTAAAATGATTAATTTTAATTAATAAAATTATTAAAGAAACATTCTAGAACTAAAATGTAAAATAACTACATTTCTTGGAGGGCTAAGCAACAGATTATAGATGGTAGATGAAATTTATATAGATCTAATGAAATCACATAACCACAGCACAGATAAAAATTTAAAGAAAAATAAAATTTCAGAGACCTACAAAATTATATAAAACACCTCCATGTACATATGACTGGACTTCCAGGGAAAGAAAAGGGTAAGTAGTATGAAAAATACTTGGTGAAACAATAACCCAAACTCTCCAAATTTGGTAGAAAACATTAATTTATATATTCAAGAAATTCAGCAAGTCCCAAAAAAGAAAAATCACTCCTGGACTGCTATGGTTTAAATGTATCCTCTAAAATGTTCACAGTTCACATAGAAATTTAATCATCATTGCCATGTGATCAAACCATGGTGCTTTGTAGAGACGAGATTAAGTCATATGACTCGAAATTCATGCATAGATCCATGTAGGCACCTTGATGTTGGCCTTCTAAGCCTCCAGAACACTAAGAAATAAATTTCTGTTGTTTATAAATTACCCAATCTCAAGTGCTTTGTAATAGCACCACAAATGAACTAAGTCATAGACACATCACCGTCAATTGGAAAAAAAATAATAAGCCAAAGTTAAAGGGGAAATTTTGAAAGTATTCAAAGAAAAATGCCATAGTGTATATGAGGAAACAAAAATAAGAGTAACAGCTGATTTCTCACCGGAATTAGGAAAGCCAGAAGTTGGAGCAACATATACCAAGTGCTGAACAAAAAGAAACTGTTTCTAATATTTTCATAATTTTTATTCTGATAAGCTACCTTTCAAATATTAAAAAAATATGTAATAAAATAAAAGCCTACAGAAGCACAAGGCAGTCACAATCTCTGCTTCATCTCCACCAAGCTGGAAGCCCTTGGGATCGCTGTGACCAGGAGAGAGACAAGACCAGGCACAGCGAAAGCCAAGCTCTTCCTGCCCTGCACCTGCTGTTCCCACACATCAAGTCAGAATGTGCTAACAGTGGTACGACTAGCAGGATGTCTGTGCTGTAATGATTCTCTTACAGATTGAAAATCAGCTGTTTGGTAGAAAAATGGTCATTAATGAGTCTCCCAGGGAGGAAGAAGTACAAAAAGGTTTTCTTCCATTTTAATTATTCTTCAGGTCCATGGGTCTCTATCTAAAATTAACACTGGTCTCGGGTGAAGCTCAGTGGTACAGCACTTGCTTAGAATGTGTGAGGCCCTGGGTTCAATCCCCAGCCATCCAAAAAATAAAATAAAATAAAAATTTAAAACAACTAAAACCATGATTACTTGAAAAAGTGAAGTGGTGCATCAGAATCCAGGGCCTGGTGACTATCATGAGGAAAGCTGTGGTAAGACCTAAGTGCTAAAGGCCCTGTTATTGACCTTGACAAACATTTAACTAACAAATGAAGGAGCTGTTTAGGTGTAAAACTGGTCAGATCTCCCTGATATGAGAGAAAGAGTGGGCAGGTTTATTCCATCCTAGACAGGCAGACCATATACACAATGTGAACAGGGCTCAATATCAAAATCAGCCTTTTTATCCCCCCAGAAAAACTCAACTCCAACAATAGTACATTTATGCCAATTTTCCAAGAAAATTAATTTTTTACTAAAATCAAGAACTTTGTGAGAACCAAAAGCTGGGACCAGGAACAGCTGGTTCTGCAATGTTGACAGTCTTTAAAAGTTGAAGAAACTATTAAAGAAAACATTTTTAAAGAAGAAACCCGTCCTTCAGCAAAACGGCACTTGTTCCACACTTCCAGCATGTCACTACCCCTCAAAATAAGTCACAGTCACTTAGCCTAACCTTGTTATCATGGCCGGACTTCCCTTCTTCTGAGGTAATGTCTGTAAATCTTGGCATTCAGTGTGTTTTCTGCTCCACGTGTCACCTATTAGCAATGGTATTTTTCCTGAAAGCTAATTGGTAATATTAAAGAAATGGAAAAGCATAATGCTTCCAAAGCCATTGTACCCCATTAACTATCACAAGTCTTTTAAAGGGGACATGGCACTGCCTAGGAATCAGACATGCTTTTCAGCCTGGTTTCCAGCAAGACAAGAAATGGAGTGCAAATGAAATCCATACCTTGGGTTTATTTACACAACGGTTTAGTTAGTGATACTTCCTGTGCCAGAAGATTCTCTCCATGTAATACTCACACTAAGGTAGCCTTCCGAGACAGGCAGACATAAAGAATCCTCATCCCCCACCAAAAGCCTGAAACAGTCATGGCCCCAAGCTTCAACATGTCCTTACCTTTCAATTTGGTTGTGTAAAATCCAACAGCTGCTCCATTTTTCCACAGAATTTTAGCTTGCTCCTTCACAGAGTGAGGTAAAAAAAACATATCATCATCATCCAACTTTCTCTCCAATCTTCCAAAAATAATGACATTCAGAATGAAAAGTACAATCCTTTCCCCAAAGGACTGAACCTTTGAAGAAAAAGAAAAAAAGAACAACCACCAAGTGAGACCTGAGAGGAAAATCAGACATGATAAATTTCGCACTTGGAATTGACTCACAAATTGGGGCCAAGTGTATGTACCACTGTTTTAGGATTGTTTTTGCACTCAGGAACCAGAATGTAAATCATTGCTTCTCACAGATGTTCTCATACCACTGACCTATCACAACAGTGTGGCCTCCAGGAACTGGTGACAATGCTGGAGGTTCCTGAGTCCCCAGGGATGTGCACGTGGAATTAAGTTGACAAAGCACAATTAATCACAGGTGAATGAAACAGGAAGTTATCTCAAGGGGAGCCAGGGTAAGCCATGTCATCAGACTTGCTGAATATGTCCTGAAATAAACCCGATCTGCCATTTTTAACAACAGCAGGGTGTTGGACCTAGAATTCTGCTCCTTGGAGGAGGAAAAATAATTGGGGTGGGGATCAGTTGCTACATCAAAAGCAACTGATTTTTGATAGCTTGTGACAGATTGCAAACATAACTTGGAGTCCCAACCCCAGAGAATTACTGAGACTCAAGGATCATCCCATTCTAGGCTAGAAAATAGAACTGTCTTGCCCATATCAAAGTCATCACAAATAAGGAAATTGAATTGTGGTCAGGACCACAGAGTTGGAAGATTTCTCCTTCATGAGTCAAAATGACTCCATGCTCATGTCTTTAAAATTCTCTGCATTTTTATAGCCCACAGATGGCAAGAATATGGCCACAATCAGGGTCTCCCATGCATCTACTCACTACATGGCTATGCCTAGATGTTGTTAGCAAGCGTTCAATCACTGTGACAAAATACCTCAGAAAAGTCAACTTAAAAAGAGGAAAGGTTTACTTTGGCTTGCAGTTTCAGAGGTTTCAATCCATGGTAAGTGGGCACTGTTGCTTTGGGCCAGTGTCAGCTCACTCATCACGGACAAAGCACATGGGAGAGGAAGCCTGTTCACTTCATGACAGCCAGGAAACAGAAAGACAAGAAGGATCTGGGGTCTCAATCTTCCCTTCAATATCCCTGATGACCCAACTTCCTCTCACTGAGTCTCACAAAGGTTCTACCATTCTCCAAGAGCACCAGTGGCTGGTTAACCAAGCCTTTAATACACAGGTCCTTTGGAGGACATCTCAGATCCAAACTAGAACAATGGTAGTCTCATAATCCTCCTAAATGCAGCCCTCCAAACAGCCACAAGTACCTGCTAAAATGTGACACACCAGATGCAACCAATCATCTATTTGTGCAGTGGCAGTATTGTTATGTTGGATTTTATTCCTACAGAAGTGCTCCATTGTGAAAGACAGCCTGCATGCTGTGAGGTGCACATGTGTGTGTGTGCGTGCACGTGCACATGTGCATGACTCCCACATCAGCCACACCATTAACTGGGCTATGACTTCCACCGACACAGTGGTACTATTTGAGTCTCACCACCCGCTGGGGACATCTTGGTTTACAGATGAAGAAACTGAAGCTCAAAGAGGGTAAGTAATTACATTTATTGATTTTCCTGCCTTGTTCCAAGGAGGTCTTGAGACATCTGGAAAGGTCTCTGTCAGAAGCAGGTGGGGAACTACAGGCAGGGCTTCTGAGGCCCCAGCCAGCACACCTCAAGAGCAGTCAGCAAGTGATTCCCTTCTGCATCCTTTTCCATTAGAACTGGGACTTAGTTTAATGCAAATACTAATGCTTGATTTCATATTTAATCTTTGGCCTTTAAACCATCATCATCATCATTGTCATTTATAATTGTGGGCTCTTAGCCTGGATTTGCTGGGAGACATTCAGCCTCACACACTTTGAACTTTGGTTTCCTCAGGTAATGGATGGTTAAAGGACTTCACTCATGTGACCTCTAAAACTTGTCTATATTTCAAATGCTCTGATCATAAAAATAAGGCAGCTCACAGCACCCTAGCAAATGGTACAAAGTGTTCAGTGCCAGTAAACTTATTAATTGGCTTAGAATGTAAAATATTTCACCTTCATCCAGAGCCAAATTTTAGATGAGGAAAAGATTTGTGGAAATCTAACCAGCTCAGCCTGAGAAGCTGCCACATTTTGTCTCTCAGACAGTGGCAGCCAAAGCCCGCTCAGACTTAAGAATAACTAGCAAGTCTCAAAACCTTATCGGTGTAATGTGGGAGGTTCTATTTTTCAACTTATAAAAGCAAAAGGTTCAGAGGAAAGATAGAGGAGAAAAGCAGATTGCATCTGGCAGAAGGGAAATATCCAATCAAAAGCTGGCAAGAAAAAAAGAAAATTCACTTAATTTGTCCAATTTCATTATAGGGAGCAAAATTTGTAGCACGTGAATTTGACTTAGAAACATTTCTTAAGACATTATACTTAGATCCAGTTATAATTCCTCATTATGACCACTAATTATGTTAACAGAGAGAACATTAAGAAAGCTTTTTTTGGTAATTTGTGAAGGATAACTGGGTAAGAAACAAAGTGTAATTAAAAGGAAAAAAAAGTAAAGACAAAGTTCTACAAATGAAGAAAGGAAATATTCCCATGTACAGAGAAGGTAGGATAGATTTTTACAACATCATTCATTTAGTGAAAATAATGTTCAAGTTTCTTTTCCTTCACCATTTAGGCCACATTTGCAGAAACTGGGGTGGGGAGGTGCTTCTCATTTAAACTTAGAAGAGATGACAAATGAAATAAGTGAACCCTCTTGTTCTGAAACATGATATAAAAAGCAAATCAGATTCTTCCTAGCATTCAGAACAACCAGTCATTAAATAGCCACCTGGTCCACCTGTGACAAAGGAGCTGGGACAACAACACATCCAGGTAGATCCTGTACTGCTGGGTACATCATATTCCTTTGTGAAACTCAAGTCACTCTTAACTTGTTTGGGGGGGAAATGTCTTTGCAAAATAATACCTATAGAGTCAGATAAGACCAGACCTATAAAATACAACCCAAAGAATGGGAAAAGATATTTGCAAATCATATAAAGGAATTTATATGCATCTAGAATATATGAAAAATTCTTATAATTCAATAGTAAAAAGTCAAATAATCCAATTTAAAAGTGGGTCAAAGTTCACAATAGACATTTTCCCAAAGAGTATATATAAATGGCCAATGAGCACATGAAAAGATGGTCAACATTCTTGGCCACTAGGGAAATGCAAATCCAAACATCAATGAGATACTACGTCACACCTATGTGGATGGAAAATGCAAAAAAAGACAGACAATAGTAAGTGCTGGTGAGAAAGTAAAATAGTGCAACTGCTGTCACTTTGCAAGACACTTTGGCAGGCTCTCAAAATGTGAAATATAGAGATGCCATATGACTAGCGATTCCATTCCTAGGTACATAGCCAGGAAAACCGGAAACAAATGTCCCCAAAAAACTATATGTAAATGCTCTTGAACCATTGCTCGTAATAACTAAAAAGTGGAAACAACTCCAATGTCCATCAACTGATGAATGGATAAAGTGCAGTACATGCATGCAATGGACCATTATTCAGCCAAAAGAGTAATGAAGCACTGATACATGTTATAGCGTGGATGACCCTTCTGAAACTAGGCTACGTAAAAAAGCTGAAAAACCTACATATTACAAGATCCTACTGAAATGGAATGTCCAGAATAGACAACTCCATAAGAGAGAAAGTCAATTAGTGTTTGCCAGGCCTGGGGAAAGAGAAGAATGAGAGGTATCTTCTAATAGGTACAGGGTTTCCTCTTGGAGTGATGAAAATATCCTGGGAGCGCTGGTGATGGATATTCAACTTTGTGAATACACCAAAAGTCACCAAATTTTATGGTTTAAAAGAAGGAAACTTATGGTCTGTGAATTACATCTTGATGAAATTGTTGCTTTAAAAATAGAACTGGCTGGGTATGGTGGCCCATGCCTATAATCCCAGCTACTTGGGAGGCTGAGGCAGAAGGTTCAAAAGCTCGAGGCCCACCCAGGCAACTTGGCAAGACCTTGTCTCACAAATAAAATTCACATTTTGTGAGGATGAGGCTGGAGAAAGGACTTCAGTTCTAGTCCAGCCCGGGCAACTTAGTGACTTATAAAGACTCTTGTCTTAAAGTAAAAAATGAAAAAGGTTTGAGGATGTAGGATGTAGCTCAGTACAAAGGCCCTGGGCTCAATCTCCAGTGCCATAAATAAATAAATAAATAAATAAATAAATAAATAAAATTTATAAAAGGATTGGGGGTAGAACTCTGTGGTAGAGTGCTTACCTAGCATGAACAAGGCCTTGGCTTCAATTCCCAGGTCAGGGTAGGGGGTGGAAATAGAACTAAAAATTGTTCAACTGACAGAAGAAACTGGATCATGAACTTCTCCAAACTGAACCTGAATAAATGCTGATTTTCCATTCAGAATCTACTGGAACCTGTGAAATGGGCCAAATGGCATTCTAGAAAACCAATTCAAGACTACAGAGAAGCCTCATTTTTAATTCCCAGCTACAGAATTAATAGGAATACAGCAATCAGATGAAACGGCAGATGTGAGTCAGAGTCCTCATCTTGGCTGGTACCTACATCCCTCCTTAGCCTCTGCCCTAGCCAACATTCAGCCAAAAGGACTCTGCCTGGACCTGTAAGGAGCTGCTGCTATGCCTGCCTTCACCCTCACCATCCCAGATCTCTGTTTTACAACTGCTCTGCAAAACAACATTGCTTCAAAGACGCCAGGCTTGAGCTCAGAGCTGACTGGACCCAGCTAAACCACTTGCTAGCTGCATGACTCAGCTTCAGTTTCTGCATGTGAAAAACAAATACCTTGAAGATTCTGAAATTAGGTAAGCTCTGTAAAGAGTCCGAGGTAATACATAGGACAGAATCTCATGCCAATAAACATAGCCGGTACTCATGAGGTAGAACTTTCCCACACAATAGACAGAGTGCAGATTAATGTTACCAAGCTACTCAGGCAGGTAAAATACATGCACCACGGCACAATACCTGTTGCTTGTAGGCAGGTGTTACTGTTTCCCTTGCTTACAGGGTGGTGTGGATTGATGTGTCTCCACAAAGGATGCTGCTGTCCCAGCCCCCGGTATCCCTGAATGTGACCCTACTTGGAAATGGGTTTTTACAGTTGATCAAGCTCAGATTTGAGCATGAGGATGCTCCCTAACCCAGTGTGTCTGGTATCCTTATAAAAAGGGAGAATTCAATAGAGCCAGATGTGCCTCCTGCAAGAACCCTGTGAAGGCACATAAAGGAAGCCACCTGGGGCCACCAGAAGCAACAACAAGGATGACCAGAAGCTAGCAAGCAGCCTGGAGGACAGTCTCCCTCTAAGCCCTCAAAAAAAGCCATGGTGAACTTGACTTTGGACTCCACCCTGTAGAGCCATGAGACCAGGGTTTGCTGTTTAAGCCACCCACTCTGATGGCAGCCCTGGGAAAAGAATAGCCAGCAGCAGAGTAGACTGTTTGAAGTTATTAACAGCATAATAAATACAGTGATTTTGAAAATCTGTTTTGCAAATGTTCCCTTCAAATCTCATTGCCTCACCTTCCTGAGACCTTCTCTTGCTGGGTCAGCGGTTCTGAGCACATCTTCCAGGGACCACCAGGATTCCTTTAAGTAAACAGCTACAACTGAAGAGGAAACAGAAAGGAAACAATGATGTGTACCCAGAGAAGTGGTCAGAGGGGGCAGACAAGACAGCATGGAGCCACTGACAGGGTGCAAAGGGAGGATTCTTTGTGGGTAAAGTAGGTGATGTTTTTAGATTGAAGTTTTTAAGAGCAATGATGAGGACATAAAGTGACCATCTCTCAGGGGACAGCACAGATGTTTCATAAGTATATCACTTAGCTTTCTTGTGGCTGACACAGAATATCTGTGCTTTACCCCAAATTAAAGAAGAAGAGGTTGAATTCAGGCCATGGTCAGCTGGCCCCAAGGCAGGAACATCAGGGTGACAGAGCATAATGGAGCAAAGCTGCTCACGTCATGGCAGCCGAGAAGCAGAGCAAGGGAGTAGCACCAGAGAGGGACAGGCAAGGGACCAGATGGAGCACAGCACCAGGATCACACCTCCACGAGCCACCCGGACACACCCAGGAGCATGTTCCACTAATCTGCCAGGCAGGTGTCAATCCACTGAAGCTGACATATCAGGATTAATGGTCATGATAGGAAGCCCATCTTTGGCTCTAAAACAAGATATATCCCAGTGTTGCTGCAAAAAAACAGGATATACAAAAATACAGAAAAAGGCAACAGGTAATTACAATTTTTTCACATTACAACGTTTATCAAGGTCCAGTCATTTGCCACAACTTGGAACTCCCTACACTTAATGAAATCCAGTATTAGGGAATTAAGTGAACCCACTTAATTCCTGTGTATAGAGCATTCTCTTGACACTGAGGTCAGGGCTGCCTTATTTTACATGATTTTCTCCCAGTCTTACAATGAAACCATCATCAGCATCTTTTGGAAGAGGACACTGAAGTTCAGAGTGGTAAAGTAATGTGAAAGCAACTAGCTGGAAGGAGCAGAAGTGGGCTCCAGCCCTGGGACACTGGACTCTAAATCCAGTGTGCTGTGCAACAGGCCAGGGATGGGGGTCTTCTCTTAGGAATGACGGAGCCCTTATGGGGTGGCGGAGGTGTCTGTGGATAGGAAGATCTGGGGTTAAGATTCATAGCAGTAGAAGGAGAGAGACCACTCTCTTCCTCCCACTCTGTCCTAGTTACTTCCTCACCACTGGGACAAAACATCTGATACTCACAAGTTAAAGGAGGAGAGGTTTATTTCAGCTCACAGTTTATAGAGAGTTCAGTCCATAGTTGGCTGATTCCAAAGCAGGGTGGCAGACAGGGGGACATCACAGAGGAGAAACAGTCCTTGGCAGGGCAGGCAGAAAAAGCAGCAGCTTCCCTTTTCCTTTTTATTCCACTCAGGCTACAAGCCTATTGGCTGGTGCCACTCACACTCAGGGTGGGTCTTCTGTCTTCAGTTAATCCATTCAGCTACACCCAGAACTATGCTAAACTAAACCAATCTGTGGACTAATCTAGTTATCACACCTATGATTCAGTATCATACACCCCTAATCCAGTCACTCCCACAAGCCCCACCTGGAAGCACATGAGGCTTTAGGGACATTTTAGGAATAAATCATAGCACACACTCTGGCATACCTCTGGCCCATTGGTTCTGCCTCAGAACATTCCTTTGATCAAACGTGAACATGAGTCCTGCTGCTCTGAAGTTCAGGCCTTGGGTGCACAGATTCCCCACTACAACTGCCCAAATCAGTCACCAGAGCTGGTTTAGCTCCGGTTCTGGTTTAGAATACCAGGTACATGGTTGGCACAGGGTAGGTGCTCAGTGTCTTCCAGTCAGCGAGCTGATTCCCTCCCCTCCTCATCGTCCTCTTCCTCTTCCTTATAAATCCACCTCCTCCTTATGCTGCAGTCACCACATCTCTCCAATTCCTTCTGCTACCTTGTGATCGTCTCCATAGAGGGCTGAGACAGCCCCTCATCTGTCCTCTTGCCTAAGTCTCCCCCCAATCCATCCCTCCTGAGTGTCACTGCCAAAGCCAGTCCCACTGTCGCCTCTGCCTCATTCTCTCAGCTCAACAACCCTCTTTCCTTGCTTGAGAATTGCATTTTAAACACCAAAGTTACTGAGGTTGCTTTCCAGTACTTTTTAAAACACTTTTTAAAGATCATGACTGAGATCTGCTTCTCAAGCCAGACATCTGAAGCTGGGGACTCTGGAACTAGAAGACAGATTTTCCCAGTCAATCCTGTTTAGAGAAAGATCTACAGGACAATATCAGCATGAGGTTAAAAACAAAGTTGATTCATTCAATTCATGCTGCTAGTTTCTCTTAGTTCATTGAAAAAAAAAAGGTTTTATGCTATTATCTGTTTATTCTTTGTAAGAGAATCTTGTTTGTCTCTGAGTAACTACTTTGAAGATAATAATACACTGTATATAATTATTGATATTCTCTTATTATTTTGTTATGAAATTTTGTGGGGTTTTTTGATAAAATAAAAAAGTAGGAGAAAAAATACATTTAACATAAGGTTTGAGACTTCAAACAAATTTTGTGGGCCACTCCAGGTAAGGGGCCACAGCCTTCCCCCCTTTTCCACTCTGATGTTTGAGAAGAATTAGTAGAAAACTCTGAGAAAAAGAGACTACAAGGCATGAGGCAGGTACTCACCATACCTGCACAGTCAGCTGCTCTTTTCCAAAAATCAAGACATCTAACCCACTGGCAGTTTCATGTCGGTGGTGAATTACCATCTCTGACAGTGGCTCCAAGTTTCCTAGAGCCAGCTGGGAAAGAAGGGCCAATTAAACGCTTGACACCTGCCTTCCTTTATTCATTTATGTAATTCATTTCCAAAATGGCACCTACATGCACTTACATGAGCTTTATGAAGCCATAAGGATTACTTTCCTGCTTAATAAGGTGAACCAGAAGAAGATGTTCAGTTTACTGATAGACTATGTTCCTGTAATACAGATGTTCAATTTACTAATACAGTTTCCAGCAGAAAACATGTTCGTGTGGTACCTTGCAAGTTTTACGGCGCCATGCACTGCCGAGCATTAATTAGTCACACACACTGTTGCAAAATAGATTGAAGTAGGGTTTTTTTAACTCACTTAAACTGCTAAGTATACATAACGGTACAAATGAAGTCTGATCGAATTTAACAATCTGAAATAAACCGTGCTCCAAACCATCCAACACTTAAAAGCGGAATCAGCTTGCTAGAAAGTAGCAGCTTTTGATCAAGGAAGCGGATATCTCATCCAGAGGAGGCTGGAAGGAGAGATGGTGGCAGAAGCTGTCCCCAGCTCAGCAAGGACAAATGACAGATCCAGGGGGGCTGACGGGTGCCACAGAACCAGCCTGAGGGCATCGCTGCCAGCATCCCGTAGCCAGCCTGCTCCCAGGGTTTGAAAATGGAAACCACAATATTTGTGCTTTTGAAAAAGGAAACATACCTTCCAGAGCAGCATCCTGCTGTTCCCCACCACCCGGGAGCCAGGGACAGAGGAGAGGGGATGCCGGCTGCAAGATAGGCAGGCAGTGGCGAGAGCCACCGACAAAGCACTGTGAAGAGCCAGCCTTGCTGCTCCAGTTTCACTTCCCTCCCCCGAGTGACAGGTGATGTGGCCCATAAAGTTGTCAGTAATGGATTTTATCCCATGACACTCCAAGGTTCCCAAACAAGTTAAGACAGTGAGGTCCCTAAGCGAACTCCCAGTGGCCTGGATCCATCCAGTATGCAGCAAGATCAACCGAACTCAGCTCTACTTGGCTGAGTTCCCAGTGGCATGAACAGTGCTGTCTTCAGCCCCAGGGGCTAGGGAATAAGCAAGCCTCCATCCTGGCCCCTGGGAGCTGGCAGCCTACAAAGGAAGAGATGGTAAACCAGCTGCTCCAGCGCAGGGCAGGCATGATGGCTGTCATGAAGACCCAGAAGGGGAGACACCTCTGCTGAGGGGAATTACAAAAGTATCCCCAGAGAGCTTTACCAGCCTTGTAGCACTGAGAAAGGTTTCACCAGGCAAGAGTGTGGGAGAAGCACTGCCAGTCGTGAGCAGAGCCCAGAGCCCTACATGTCTAAGGCCACATTCAAGCCAATGCAAGCAGTTGGGACAGCAGGGCAAGGACTCAATAAGGAAAAGACCAGCTCCACAAACACCAGCTCCACAAAACACCAGCTTCATTCACTCACAAGCTCCTAAGGGACTTTAGAACCAATGGAGAGCAAGACAGCATGAGGCATTTTAGATATGGCCCTGGGTACTTTGTGGAGGGGACAGAATTCAGACTTCAAAGTCAGACAGGCTCAAGTGCCAGCTCCTGCTATTACTCACTGCATGACCTGACCTCATGCCCTCCCAGGTCCTGGTCCATACTCCTGTTAAATGCAGACCACAGCACCCTCTCACCCGGTGCCTACACAGGTTTGGTGAGACAGTTCACAGCCAAACTTTTTCCTCAGTCACTGGAAGGTTTCTGGTGGCTTCTAGAAACTTCCTCTACCTGCTCCAATAAACATTGCTCTAGGATTGCAAAGAAATATGAAAAGCCTTTGTTCTTTCCACTGTCTGTAAGACAATGGAAAAGGCTGTGTGGCACCCCATCTTCTCCTGACCACCTTTCTGCTCACATTTGCAAATAAAGGTCTGTTACAGCTGCTGTCTGTCACCCCCCCTCTTCCTTCAGAGACACACACATCTCACACCATTGTCACCCATTGCTGAGGGGGCACCACATCTGACTAAGACGTGGACCATACCAGGCCCGGGACCGCCCAACAAGATTCTGAGGCCTGCTATCCCACCTATGATTTCTCAGAGCAACTAAAGTCTCTTTCTCTGAATAGGTTTTGAATTGATAAATAGGCAAAACAATCATTTAGGGGAAAAATAGCATGGTTTTCCCATAGGACAGGTCAGAGACCCGGTTGTCATGTTACCCCAGATGGATGGGCTACGACAGCTGGGGCCACTGCATGGGGAAGGGTTTTGAAGCTATGGCCTCACTCAGCAAGGAGGAGGGCTGCAATGAATTTGCACCATCCAGCAGAGGACGGTGGCTCCTGCG